TAAACATTTCGAGACATTTGGATTCCTCAAATTCTTCTAAAATCATTGCTTCCCTTTTGTCCCGGTATAAAGAAGCAGCCATTAGTTTCCCAATTCCGGATTAAATGGGTTGTTGGCAGTTCGCCCTTGTTGAGGATTGAATGTGGGAGCATCAGGATGAATGTTTGAATTAAATTGGAGTCTCTGTACAGACTGGTGTTGCATGCCAGGACGAGTATATGAATTAAACTGAGAAGAAATTTGATGTTGCATGCTGGGACGGACGTGAAAATTATGCTGAAAAACTTGTGGGAGCTGATGTTGTATTCCTCCAGCTCTACAGTTACGAGCAATATGACCAACTTTATTACATTTGTTGCATGTGGGTAAGCCATCAGTTGTACGACAGTTACGGTTAGAAGGAACACCAGAACTTGATGGGCGGTTTGTTTGGGCGAGGTATTGTGTTTGTCGCCGCACCTCCTCTCGAACTAATTTTGCTATGTTATTTGAGTCATGCTTTGAGCCAGGTGGTGAGGGATGGCGTGAACGGTATTGACCATGGTTGGAATTATGTACTTCATGACCAGGTATCCCAGGTTTCAAATAATTACTATAAGCAGCTATATTTGGTGCTTGGTTTTGCTGTTTGTCGCTTGCAAGTGCCTCTAAACTTTTAATAACTGACTGAGCTGGGATTCAAATTTATACTGTGCCAATTTAGGAGTACTCACTGAAACAGCTTCTTTAAGATGAGCAAGGTTTTCTGCCTCTGCCAAAGTTTTTGGTTGTCCTAATATAACATGGCCTTTCAAATCTGGATGAAGGCCCTGAATAAAATAATGCATGCCTTCATTGTCACTTAAGCCTAAGCGCTTGTATATCCGCCTAATTTCTGCTGCATAATTAGCTAAAGACTCAGTTTCATTTTGCTTTCTTGATGATAATTGTTGACGCAAAAGCCAAAGTGATGCCGTGTTACTAAACTGTTCTTTTAGTGCATTAATTAAAGCATCATAACTCTCAAAACTAGTATTAAGACTAGCATACCAAGAACCAGCATTATCCTGTAAGTAAAGGGGTAGGGCCCTCAGACGTTGTTTAGAATCCCACCCACAGAAATTAGAGTACCGTTCAAAGTGGCTAAGAAATGCTGTAAGGTCATCTGTCGGCTTACCACAAAAGTATGCGTGATGGAGAGCAGAGCCCACCTGTAAAGTATTTTATGATATTAGTGTTGCCAGTTGGGCTTGTTGTTGTTCGTGTAATGTCAGAAAGTCAGTTTGGCTGCGAATACCCTTTTCCATAAAAGGACAAGAAACATAGCCATAGGACGAGAAACAACGTATTAGATTAACAGCACTAACAACAACTATAATACTCTTACACTCGCTATGATTTTACTATGAGGAAAGAAATAAATTTTCTGACACAACACGTGGTTCGTAGTCGATTTCAACTAGCTAAGCAAATAAGGATAAAGTAAATATCGTGTACCTCAAGTTATATAGCTTCGCGTCCGACGTCGCATCTTTGTAATCTTTCGTTTTATCTGGTCGTCTGGTCTTTTTAATCTTTAGTCTTCTAGTTCTGATTCTGGCTTTCGCTGCTTAATTTGCATCTGCCCGCTTGCTCCATCAATGTTACACGACCTCTTGATTTGTTAAGGCCTGATTCCACGGGCGCTTTTTCTCGGCGAAATGCGAAACATTTCGCCTGTTTCTTTTGAATTGCGACCACTCGAATAAATTATTTCTACTTGATTGCCCACAATTCAAAAGAAACAGGCGAAATACTTCGCATTTCGCCGAGAAAAAGCGCCCGTGGAATCAGGCCTTTACAACGTTGACCATATATTTTAAACACAACAGCAGGATCGGCGAGGTCGCAAAGGGGATGCTCAATGCTTTATTAAAATAAGGTAGAACACACAATTCCCGAATATATAACTGAATTCATAATTCCTTTGTAACTTCACGTTTACAGTTTGACGGTAACATTAACACTTTCTGAATTATATCAATATCATCATGCGCTTTTCATTTGTTTGTCAATGACTCATTGTTCATTGTTCATTGTACTAGTCTCAATTAATATGGGTCTTTCACGTTGGGGCATGTTGCGATGAATGGCATAAATTAAATAGTGATCACTTACAGTAATATTAGAAACACCAGTTGTTATAACTTTATGTGGTATATTTGAAATTAAGTGATCAATTAAGGTACTAGAATTTTCAGTCACACGAGTAGGATATCGATTAATTGTGTGTACTGGTATTCATTATACAGGGACAGAATAGTAGAGGTGTGAGTATCGATTTCTTTAGTGAGAATATTGCAATTGAAGTCACCTAGTATAATTGATTCTTTATTACAATCTTCAAGATTTTTAAGCAATTGTTCGAATTTGCTCATAATACTGATTTCAGATGATGGCGGACTATACCAAGTAGTTATAAGGAAAGACTTTTGACAGGTCATGGTTTCTCGATCTCAACTGTTAGTGCTTCAAGGTCATCGTAACATTAATCAGAACGAACCTTAAAAGCAATGTTGTTTTTTATATAGAACGCCACATAGCGACTCTCGTTTATAGCAAGTACTTCGAATGGATTGTTTGTCATTACAACTGTTAACTTATCTATATGTTTTAGAAGACTTGTAATATTTAAAGCTGCAATTTTAATTTCTTTAAAGAAATTTCGAGTCTCATTAGAAGAAAAATAGTGATTGTTATTAATTTCTACTGGAGCAGTGGCTGCATTTCAACTAGGCGTTAAATAATTTATAAAATTATTGGTCATGAGCTCATTTCCTGAGTGCAACAAATGTACACCACCTCTATTTAGTTTTTCAGTTGTTATATTCGAGTGGTTAATTACATGCAAGTTTTTTTGTTTACATAATCTAGCTAACAAAACATTAGTACCTCTTACTTTCTCGTTTAAAGCTGGGTCACTTCTACATACCAATTCTGAAATAACCACATTTGCTGTGCTTGACTTAACTTGTTTCGCGAGGTCAACAATCCTGTTTGCAACTGCTTCTGGTTCAGAATTACGTATAAATCGTTCGTACCACAGTGTAAAATTATTTGATCAGGTTCTTGAAGAATACTTGGTTTGCTGTAGTGAACCATGTCGCTTGTACGGGCGCCTGAAAAAGCTTTAACGCCCATACGGTGTCCAGCTGCTTTACCGATATCCCATCCTTTCTGGTGTTTGATCATTGAATCGAATGAATAGCTTTGTGGTGTAATATGAGACACTAGTTGTTAGTAATGCAAATCAGTTAATTTATTAACATGCATATACACATTTGACATATGTTTTAAGTTGTCCTGGTAAGATGAAAAATAAAAAATGTCTTCATCTTCATCCTGGACAGAACAAAAAGAGGATCTATTTGAATTCTGACTAGCTAAAATTTTGTTTGACTTAAAGTATACTGTTAGGCAATACCATTTATGAACCTATAATATATGGGGATGCTAATAAAGATTATTGTTATTGTTAATGAGAACCATACAATAAATGTTTTAGTTCCTTTTGGTATTTTGAACTCGCGCTTTATTGTTATCATTAATTTTGCTTATACACTAATCACTTTTTGATTACGTTTTGACAAATATTGAAGTATTTGTTGATAAAAAATACTCTAAAAAACCCCCAAAGAACACGGAAAATTACTTGCGCAAACTTAAAGCTGCGTGAATAAGTCTCAACAAGGTGCGCGCGCGAAATTAAATCGCGCGAATTTAAATATAAACAAGACGCCTACTCAGGCGTTCACTCCGGGTACAGGGCCACAGTATAGGGATGAACAGTAGTGCCACTCATAGGATAGCAAAGTGTCCACAGCTTTCAATTAGGTCCCAGACCTTTTACGCGGCCAAAAAATCGGCAGCCAGTAAACAACAAGAAATTATAGTACAGAATAATTGTGTTTTAGCACAAAATGACATATTTTCCTTCAACAACGGGATTAATTCTTATCAACGCGTCATATTATACGAAAAAAATGTGTGTGATTACATTAATTGCATTTGTAGTTGTCAAAAATATGTAGAAATGCAGAAATTTCAAGTTTATGTTCGTGCTTTCTACCTTAGTATATTCCCACGAGAGTGTGTTGCTGCAGTGATTGCTGTGAGTTGTCTTCCTGTTGGTTTTTTATTATATTACGAGTTAGTTTTGTCAAGTTGATGGTTTAAAGTAACATATCTGATCATTCAGCAAGCCGTACTTTTACATGGAATAGTTCTGATTTAACGATTATAAGTGAGTAACTTCTGATATGTATTCTTGGTCTTCTGTTGTGTTGGATATTAGTTTGTCATTACACATTTAACATGTATGTTTTTTCAGCCACATCATCAGAAGGTACCCTGCTGCATACAAGTTGCATTGGCTTCAATGATGGTAGTGTGGACGTCCAGGGTATTGGGCTGTAGCACCGATGTCCAGGGTATTTGGCTGTTCTTTTGGACTGACCAGGACAAGCATATTTGCTTTATCTTTGGAAAACTGAGCAAGAAGAATATCCAAGTCTTGAATAATTATAATTACCTGTTGAAGACTCAAGGAACAAACCGAAAAACTATTCCCGGAAAGCCCGAGTGAATTGAACAGATGTCAGGTTGTCACTATTTCCTCCTTGTTGACGAATTGCACCAAAGAAATTTTCGATGGGATTTGTGTTCATGGATATCCATTGTATTGCTGCTCATCTAGGGGTTTTTGAAATAAAAAAAAAATTCCCTCCGTGCCACCTCAGTCTGCACTGGCACTCAAATTGGGTTAACCCATCAAGTGGCAGCACTATTGATGAGTAGAAAATGTGGTGTTGGACAGAGTAAAATAATAATTTGGGCTCATTGCCACTCAAAGGATTAACTGGCCTATCTGGCCATGCTTCTAGTTAACCCACTGAGTTGCATTGTGCCAGATGCAACCTACTTTATTATTTTACTCTGTCTAATGCCAGACAATTTTACTTGTATGTTTAGTTGGATGTTGCCTGATTTTATAAACATGTAAAAATGGTTAATATTTAACAAAATACATTAAATAGACATAATTGTGAAAATAATTCCCTGACAGAGTGTTGATTTATTGTATGATGCATTGCCAGCAATATATTGTCAGGACAAGAGGGATAAAATATAATGATTAGCATCATTGTCACATGATAATTCTGTTGCATGCATGTGTTTTGATGAACACTTACAGTGAAAATACAAAAAGTGTCCCACTTCCGCTTCTGTAGTTTGTTGTGATTTTCTGTAATTTGTTCTGTTTTTCTGTAGCGATTACCGATTTATCGACAAATACCGCGATAAAACTTAGTTTTTTTCTATTTTTAAATATGATAATTTGTAGCAAAGGGAAATAATACATTTTTGGTTAGTTTCACTGCATAAAAGGAACGGAATCTAAATTTTATCGCAATATTTGCCGATAAATCGGTAATCGCTACAGAAAAACAGAACAAATTACAGTAAATCACAACAAACTACAGAAGCGGAAGTGGGACACTTTTTGTATTTCCACTGTAAAATTGTATGAAATCTACTGAATACATTACATTGTATAATAAATGCATTATAATATTTCATGTTTATTGTACAAAAATAAGATTGATAAAAATACAAAATTTAGAGATAATCATACATATTATTTTTAATATGTTTACTCCACCGGTTCTTGAAGCTTACTGAAATTTTACATTTCCTTTCAAATTTGTTTTTAGTCTAAACTTGTTGCAGTACAAATTACGGGGTAGCACAGTACAATAGCAAACGTTGTGTACAATAACATAAAATAAAATGTTTATTTCAAAGCCATGTTAATAAAAAAAATATTGCAGGTATCAAAGCATAATAAATGTTCAGAAAGAACCTCTACCAAATAGCATAACTTTAATCAAAGTCTTTGTGTTCCGTCGTTCATCAGGCAAGACAGGCATCACTCATCGCTTCGACAAAATTGTTTCATTCTTCAGAAATTGTCACATTTGAACAGCAAGAAACGTAACCAGGAAAGTCTAAGTGTCCTCCTTTTCCTTTTGATGGCTTAGGAGTAAAAATCGATGTATTATTTATGACATAATATCGTTTTCTCAAAACCTTTCTTCTTTATTTATTTATTAGAACTGGCTGTCGTTTACTGCGTTTACTGGCTGCCGATTTTTTGGCCGCGTAGAAGGTCTGGGCAATGCTTCCACTTTGGCAAAGCAAAATTTCTCGTTTTTGTCCTTTTTTTTCGCAAAATCTCCTTCCCAAAATTCTAAATTTCCTTCCACTTTTCCTTCCAATGTCAGTTTAAAATAGTATAGTAAATTTTGTATTGTACCGTACTCCCGATGTGAATTGAAGGTGTACTGCAGTATTCAAATAGTGAATCTCTAATCCTGAAAAAACATGTTCTGTTGTCTCATTTTTTGTCTGTTTTCTCGAACGACATAGTACTTAAACGACTTTTTTATGAAATTGCTTTTGGACCAGGCACTTGTCCTGCACGCTTTCTACTCCGTTTGCATTTGAAAACTACTTGAAGCTTCATCTTCTGATGAGTCTGACTAGATATCGACTCAACGACTCAATATGAGCCATCATAATATATAAATTACTTTTTTTGTTTACAAATTACAGTTTCCCTTTTTCCGACTGTTTGTTTTTTAATTTTGGGTTATAATTCTTATGAAAAATTAAAAACCCGCGAAAAAATTGAGCCATTTATGTACAAGTACTCTACTCCCTCACAGCTCACTGAAGACCTGTTAATTAAGTCCCAAATTACCCCCATTCATCCTTGATGGTTATGTAAATATCCGAAGTATTATTTTTATAAATGTTTTTGAACTCAAAAGTTCATAATAAAGTGTTAAACCATTATTAAATTACTAGAAATAGCTGAAAAAGTTTAAATTGTAAAATTTCCTTCCCTTTTCCTTCGAATTGGCCGAATTTCCTTCCAATTTCTTTCCAAATCTTATTTCCTTTTATTTTTCCTTCCAAATGAACAGCTGGGAAATTTGTTGTCGCTGTGCAGAGAAATTGCTGGCGCACGCGATATTTTACAAAAATTCGAAAATTTGAAAAAACAACACGAGTGAAATTTCAACT